TTTACTTTATTGTATTTTGTCATATAAACAAATTTAGCTCTTATATTGTCATTGTGTCAATTTTGAATGGCTTTATTCATCTTGTTTCTAAAGGCGTTTCTTGCTTAAAGATAATAAAAAAAAATCCAACAATGCATATTTTCATCTGAAATGTTAATGTTGTCATTTTATACATAAATACATGATCCACAAAGAGAATAGAAGGGGCTAGTCTATTCCCCCCACAAGAGGCTTATTTTTTAAAAAATCTGAGGCGTTATTGCCTGTGGGTATATTGCACTAGGCAGCCATGATGCTTGCGTCAGGTCTCAAGTCTACCACTTGTCATCTGTGTGATGTTGGATAAAGACATCATCTCTTTTTTATTTCATTTATTTTTTATTTTAAAACATATTTTTATTGATTTCAGAAAGGAAGGGAGAGGGAGATAGAAACATAAATGATGAGAGAGAATCATTGATTGGCTGCCTCCTCACACCCCCTACTGGGGATCCAGCCTGCAACCCAGGCATGTGCCCTTGACCAGAATTGAACCTGGGACCACCCTTCAGCCCGCAGGCTGACGCTCTGTCCACTGAGCCAAACCCACAGAAGTCGGTATTTTGTGGAAGAGCCACACTCAAGGGGCCAAAGAGCCGCATGTGGCTCGTGAGCCGCAGTTTGCCGACCACTGAACTAGGGAATAACCTCTTTTTTTAAAAAAAAAAATTTATTTTATTGATTTGAGAGAGAGAGAAAGGAGAGGGATAGAGAGATAGAAACATCAATGATGAGAGAGAATCACTCATTGGATGCCTCCTGCATGCCCCTTGTTGGGAACAGAGCCCACAACCAGGGCCAGGAATCAAACCCATGACCTCTTTCTTCATGGGTTTACACTCAACCACTGAGTCATACCAGCCCTGTCTTTGGGGTTCGTGGGTGTCACCCGAGAACGTGGATTAAAACTCTTTTCCCTTTTCTGACCAGCTTGATTCTCTTTTCCTGCGTCACGAACCTAACAAGATACATTTAGGAGAAGTGACTTTTTTCTTACAATATTGATGTTTGCAATCCAAAAGCATGTTTTCTTATTTTTAATTTCTTTTGTTCAAGAGTTTTAAAGTTTTTTTGTCCTTTTGGTTGTGCATATTTCTAATTATTTTGTATCTATGATTTTTATTATTTAGTATCTCTTGTGAAAGGGAGCTATTATTTTACTTAATCTTACTGTCTATTTCAACATATAATAAAACAGTTGATATTTTTATTAAGTACTTTAAAAAATCTTTACATAGTCTCTTTAGTAAAAAACAAACAAAATTTTATGATATTTATGGTATCAGCTGCCTCCTGCACACTCCCTATTAGGAATCCAGGCCGTAACCCGGGCATGTGCCCTTGACCAGAATCGAACCTGGGAGCTCCCTTCAGCCTGCAGGCCGACACTCTGTCCACTGAGCCAAACCAGCTAGGGCATAACCTCTTTTTTAAAAAAAAAAAATAAAAATTTATTTTTATTGACTTGAGAGAGAGGAAGGAGAGAGAGAGATAGAAACATCAATGATGAGAGAGAATCACTTATTGGATGAATAAGTGATAAATCACTTATTTATGGGGGGAATACCAATACAAAATTTAAGGTAAAATTTACTAATGAAATCAGAAAGAACTTACTCAAAAACAGTTGTTCCACAACCCCACCTCCACCTTGCATACTTGATTAAGAAACGAATGAGCCTGCCTCTTGAGAATGCTGCGTCACACAGACCAGAAGCCTGCCTGCATAACCCTGGAGACTCATTTCCTTCCCCCTTTTGGTAGCTTAGCTAAAAGCTGGCTCAAATTGATTGAGCCAATCTGCAGAAAGATAGCAAGGCTGAGCTCAGCTTTTCTGGTCTGCAAAACCATTTGTAGGGCCTTTGGCATATCAACATTGGCCATCAGTATGCAGACTCCCTCACATGGTCCCTGCGCCCTAGAATCGAACCTAGGACTCAGGGACCATGTTCTCGTATTCTAGGGAAACTAGGTATTCTATCTCATTTTAAGTTAATCTATACCTGTGTCACAAAGTGGCAAGGTGGAGCCTACTCTCTCCCTTTCTCTGGGAGAGCCCTTCGTGTCTTTGCTGTCTCCTGGCTACGACAAACCCCCTCTGCCAGCACCTTTGCCATGACATGTGCAGGGCATCTGTGTCAAGCCATTTTTGTGGAGCAGTGAGTGCTTGAGACTTGTGCCTGTTTTATTATTTCTCTGCTTGAAAGTTTGTGTCCAATAAATTTGATGTCTGCATCATGTTGCACTAGTGACCCATAAGCCCTTGTACAACACTGATAATACCCAGACACAAATTCGAAAATTACTCTGTAGTTGGTAGACATTGAGAAATAAGAAAAAGGAAGAGATAAGAGGAAGAATGCCAGGATATTCCCTCGTGCACAAGTTCTCTGTGTCTGAGGCCACAGTAGGGTTGCGGCTCATTTGTAAACTTGTTGGAGGTTCATACAGAGATTTAAAAACAGAAGTTTAAGCTTTAGTTTAGAAACAGAATTAAAAGTCATAACTCCTGTTTAACATTCAACTGTTAGTTTAACCTTCCTCTCTCTCTCTCTCTCTCTCTCTCTCTCTCTGGTTGTTAAGCTTTCTTTTCATCGCTATCAATGTCTGAAGACGTTACTTATGCAGATCTAAAATTCCAGGACTCCAGTGAGATGGAAAATATTCAAGAGTTTGACCAAGTTGGTGTGAAAGGTAAGATTCTGAGCTATGGATGTTTTGTAAGATGGAAGAAGTATAGAAGGTGGTAGAAGTGTAAGGGCTTTACCAGGACGTGTTAGGGAAGAAAAAATATGCAAAATGAATAAATGAATGAATCAAATTAAGATGTATACCATTTCCAGGCCTTTTTGCTAATTTTGCTTCCCACAGCACCCCCTGCTCCTTCCCATGTGTGGCGTCGGAGAGCCTTGGCCCTGATTCTTCTGTGCCTTCTGCTGCTGATTGGACTGGCAGTGTTAGGGAGCATGTGTATGTATTACCCAAGTTTTCTTTGTGTGTGTGTGCATGTGTGTTTTAATCTTCACCCAAGGATGTGTTTATTGATTCTTAGAGAGAGGGCGAGAGAGGAAGAGAGAGAGAAAAAGAGAGAGGCTGAGAGAGAGAGAGAGAGAGAGAGAGAGAGAGAGAGATGCATTGATAGAAAGAGAAGCATTGATTGGTTACTTCTAGTGCGTCGATAGAAAGAGAAGCATTGATTGAAAGAGAAACATCAATAGAAACATCAATAGAAAGAGAAGCATTGATTGGTTACTTCGATAGAAAGAGAAGCATTGATTGGTTACTTCTAGTATGTCCCCCAAAACCTTTTGGTGTATGGGACAATGCTTCAACCCAGCCACCTGGCCAGGGCGTCACCCTCGTTTTGATCGAATGGAAAGACACTTAGAATTGCATGAGTTTTACAAGGAAGTTCACTCTTTGAATTGAGGCTTTGGAATGATTATAAGTGATATGTGAACATAAAGGGGGCCTTATAACGGATTCCTTCCAGTATGGTACTTAGTCTCTT